TAATAAATAAGAAACAATGCAACATCATATCAAGTCATGCACATATCACATACAGATAATAAAATGCTCAGAAATTGCTACAAACAAGAATAAATTAATTCGCGACAATTGGGCCACTAACCCGAGTTTTTTTTGGTAGCAAAGCATACAATAGAAGATCAAAGTAACAAGAAGCAAAAGTAAGACTACACGCCCCGTCTTTCACAAACAATCAACAATCAAATGACGAAACGTTAAGGTGTTGCAAAGGCAAAACCTTAAACAAAAATTCATTTATCAAGTGCTAACCTAACTAATTCTACTTAAAGTTCGTCCTTATCATCGTGATCGTGCTGTTCTGGAGGAGCCCCACCGGCATCCTTATATAACTTAGATACAATAGGTTGCACTTTCCCTTCTAAGTCCTTCTTCTGTTGTTGCAAGTCTTCTGCCGAAGCGTCCTGCAATTCAAATAATGAATGCAAAAAAGCAAAAAAATGCGCTTACAACCCTCCCTAAACAACAATAAGTCCAACAAACCTTGTGACTATCCAGCCAAGATATCGCTTGATCAACGGCCTCTTCAATAGTCTTCTTATCAGCATCATCTAACTTCCCACCAAGCTTCTCCTTATCTCCAATCTGGTTCTTCAACGAATATGCATAACTTTCCAGATCATTCCGAGCCTCAACCTGCTCTTTCACCTTAAAAACAAATCATATGAATATACATTACTAATATACGGTACTGAAAAAAATGGCGTCACAGCTCCCAACCTTTTTATCCTCGTCAGCGAATTTTTCAGCATCATTAATCATCCTCTCAATATCGTCAGGTGACAGACGATTCTGATCATTTGTAATTGTGATCTTATTTTTATTACCGGTACCCTTATCCTCAGCAGTAACGTGAAGAATACCATTGACGTCTATTTCAAATGTCACCTCAATTTGAGGAACACCTCTTGGTGCTGGAGGAATACCCGTGAGGTCAAATTTACCCAAGATGTGGTTGTCTTTTGTCATCGGACGTTCACCTTCGTAGACCTGAAATACAGTTTATGAATGACGCAGTAGAGCAGAAAAAATGATAATCGGCTACCACCGCAGACAGGGCATGGACATAACGGCACCTGAATCGTCACAGTGGGCTGGTTATCTGCTGCAGTTGAGAATATTTGGCTCTTCTTCGTCGGAATAACGGTATTACGGTTAATCAGTTTGGTCATTACTCCACCAACTGTTTCAATGCCAAGCGTCAACGGATTTACGTCAAGAAGCACGATATCATTTGCTTTTTCTTCTCCAGAAATCACACCAGCCTGTACGGCAGCACCATATGCAACAGCTTCATCAGGATTAATGCCACGAGAAGGCTCCTGAAGATTAAATGTGGTGAAATCACTATTACTATTATTACTGCTATCAATAATATTGTTAATGGCGCTAACATCAACAT